GCAGCCTGCAGGTGCACAGAGCACATTTGCTACATCAAGGGTTTGTGGAGCAGCTTCGTGGTCCCACCCCGGTGTGATGAGGTGAGAGCGGACTCTCTCCGCTCCTCTGCTAGCCACCTGCAGGGAGCCCTAAGGACTGAATCTCAGCTCTTTCAGAATGGCCTTCTTCTCCAGACAGGGCAGTGGGTGGGCAGTCAGGTGCCCCACAAATCGCAGGCAGATGGCCGAAGGGACCCACTGTGCACTGTGCCCAGGCCTTGGCTGTCCTTGCCCCCCAGCATCAGGCCTGTCAAGGGGGCCTCACCCCGTAGTCTGCAAATCACTCAGCAAACGATTCCTGGACTTCTGGTAGCTCTCTCTCTCTCTCTTTTAAACCCTCCAGACCCCCAACACGTTTGCCGTGTGCACGAGGCACCGTGGCGTCCTGCTTCAAGCCATCAACGACAAAGACATGAACGACTGGCTATACGCCTTCAACCCCCTTCTCGCCGGCACAATACGGTAAGAGGGGCAGGCCGGGGATCGCACTTCTCTGGAGCAGAGAAGCCATTTGCTTTCTGTGGATTTTTTTTGGGGGGAGAAGGAGACCTCTGGGCTCGTCGAGGTCCAAGAGGGCTCTGCACTCAAGCCCGGCAGGTATGGTAGTGCCTGGGTGAAGGCAGCCAGCTTAAGGAGACAAGTTGCATTTTCAGCTCGTGCCGACCTCTCTGTGTCCAGCTGTGGGGAGGAAGCTCGCGGGGGAAAAGGTGTGTGGAGGGGGGAGCAGAGGTCCAAAGATCTGGCACCGGGGAGTAGAGCAGGTCAGGTTCTGCCCTGCTGATCAGGACAAGGGCCGTAGGAGGTGGTTGGAGAGCCCCTGAAGAAAGAGGGCTCCTTGCTATATACTGCAAGCAAGAGAAGGAATCTTGCTGCTGGCAAGGAGGATGTCGGCCCTGGTCCGAGCACCATCTGTTGGGGGGGGGGGCATCTCTGACAACAGCTGATGCCCTGCAGCTCATTCATTGCTAGATTCGATACATGCTGGAAGCAGCTGAAGGGTAGGAGCTGCCTTTGGAGCCTTTTGCTCTTGCTGGTATGCCTCAACTCAGGCCCGTAGCTACGGTGTGGTGGTGGTGGGCTTTGCCCCCTTTCTTAAAGGCACAGCCCCACAAGAATGTCTCCTGTAAATGCTTTTTTTCAATCATTTTTAAACTCTTTTTTTTTTGAAGGCCTGCGGTCCTCTAAGCAGAGTGGGGTGCTGTAGTTGACTAATTCCTGCACTAAGCAAGGGGGTTGGAGTGGTTGACCTCTAGGACTCTTTCGTTGCCAAGAATCTGCTCTCCTTGAAGAGAGTTTTCCTGCCTAAGTGTCAGCTTTCTTGACTCTAGAAGACATCACTCCCACCTGCCGGCTGGTTATCAGAATTGTTGCTAAGGCTGGCAGAAGTGATGAACTTGCTGCAGCTGAGAACTGTCATCTGAAGTGGTTGACAGCTTGCAGTTTAGAGATCTGTCCTGGTCACAGCTTTCTTTTGGCTAAATGGCTTTTCTTTCTGCACGGAGGACTTCAGCCCCACCGGGACAAAAAATTGCCCCCAAAAGCCACAAAATCCTGGCCTGCCTCGATTGGGTCCAGACGTTGCAAGAGAGCAAGCTTGTCTGTTTGCTTTTCATTTCTGCTCCAGTCTCAGGACCCACCTGCAGCCTTTTCAAGTCGCTGTGTTGTGTGTGTGCCCAGCTTCATCTCAGCAATGTAGGAATCGGGAGAGGGGTGATGTGTCAGACAAAAGGGGGGAAAGGGTACTGCGGGAGCTCACGGAAGACTGATTTCCCTTCTCTTCTCGTGCAGATCCAAACTCGCCCGAAGACGCTCGGGCCAGCTGAAATACTGAGTCCACACGGGGGTCCTCGTCCAGTTTTTTTCTCCTCTCTCACACGCCTTCGGATATAGATAAAGCGTTACATCTCATTTCTCTGTGGTTCTTGAATTTTTCTCTTCCTGTCTATAACCCTGTGGCTTAACTTCCCTCGTCTCTGCCTCCCTCCCCTCCCCACCCCACCCCAGCACTTTCCCCAACACTTCTAACCTTGGTCCTTCCCAGTCTTCTTTTTCAATTTCTGTTTTCACCTGTGCTGAAAGTACTATTAGTAGCATGTGCCCAAACAGACGAAACAATACAGTGGAAATTTAGAAAGGGGCGGGTGGCGGGGCGGGGATCGGGTTCCAATTTATCTGCACGAATCTTCTTTTTTTAAAAAAATTGGGAGGAAATAGTTTTGTTTCCCTGGGTGATCAGTTTCTCACTCCGATGGACTTTGTCTCTGTGGTGTGTGTTGTCTCTGTCCGGAATCCTCCTTGGCTTTTCTCCTGGCCCTTGGTGATCTGGCAGTATCCAAAGTGCCGCTCTCTGACCGGGTGCCCCGTAGGATGGCGAAAACATCTCTCGTTGCGCAAGGGACCAAGAATATGGAGTCTCCCTCCGCACAAGTAGACTGCTTGTGAATTTGGACAGCTTCATCCCCCAACATACGTGGACTTTTATTTTTACTGGATAGTATTTCAAAAGCTGCTTCTCTCCTGTTCGGTGTTCCATGGCTTCCAGTTGGCAACCCTGCGGCTTTCATGCGCCTTGGGACTTGGCTGAAAGGAGGAGTCTCTTGTTTTGTTTGTTTTTCCTTTTGTGACGAGCCCTAGTACCTGTCAGTTGCACAGCCTCCTTCTCTTGGTTGACCTGGTGTGACCAGTGAATGTTGGCTACTGGGTCCTGCCCGCATGGGACACGTTCAGACAAATGAGTCCTGCCACATTCCCAACTCACAAAGACTGCAAAATTCAGCGAAGTCTCTCTGTGTTGGGGCTGTTAAGACTAAAAATCTCTTCTCCCTCTCCGTGTGTGTTTTGGGATCTAAATGCTGAGTGCTATTTTACTTCTGGGCTCGATCCTCCTCTTGCACAGCCAGGTCTTTTGGCCCATCCAGTACTGAAGGCAGAGGGAGTCCAACCCCCTGGGAAGAGAGGGCTTGGCGGGTCTTTCCTCTTCACCTTTGCTGAGGAGGCTCTAGCAGGCACGGTGTAGCAATTACCCCAAAGAATCCACTTACCGGAACTTTCACTTCCCCCTTTATGTGCTCGACACAAGGTATGGCAGAGTGAACCCTGTGTTCTGGCAACATGGGACAGGAAGGTCGCTCTGTGAAGTTTTATGGTGCCCGTGGCATAGAAACGCATCCCAGAATCCTCTGCAGGATTTAACTAAAACAGGGAACAAACCCAGTTCCCTATGCCCCAAGTTAAGGGTCATTGCTGTCCAAATGACTGGCCCTTTCCAGGAAAAATAGTGCCCCCGACTTTTATTTACCAGCCAACCCAGTACGAGTTGAGAAACTGTTTGGGGGATCCCTGCGCTTGCGGAAAGGGTGCCTCACCCAGTCTCTCCCTTCCAAAAACCTAAAACAGCATTTAGCTTGAACCCAGTTGTCGGAGCCCCTCTTCTGAACTCTTTGCGAGTCTCAGTGGGGTACAGAAGAGAGGCCGTCGCTCTGGTCGAGGAGTCGGTGCCCCTTCTGTAATCCCGGCAGGCCTCCAGTTAGAACGGCTCCAGAAATCTTGTAGCCTCTTCCTCTGTGGACTCCATTTCGGTGGTTTGGCTTCCTGGGGCCACCTGGGCCATTGCTTTGGGAGGGGGGGGCTGGACGTTTCCCGTCCCGGCCGAACAGACAAGGCAGTAAGGCTGAGCAGGGGCAGTACGGCTGCAGGGGTGGGATCCAATAATCGAAGTTTCCTCTGCGAGCAAACCCCCCCCCCAATCCCTGCACGTGGGTCAGCCTTTCTTCCGAAATCGCTAGTTCAGTCTGAGGCAGCCCAGCCCAAACGCAGGTTTTCCTTCCCACTGCAGCTTGTGAGAACTTCAGCCTCCATGAAACCCTCCGCAACCCTCCGCTAGAGGGTCCGTGAAGCTCTTCTCTGGGTGGCGGCTGCATTTCTCAGGCCCCTTTTTGGCCAGGGGGCACCATCTCTGCCCCTTTCCAAGCCTGCTTGAACCTCTGGGGCTCACTTTAGTCCACGGGAGGGCCAGGCGCTCAAGCCACGGAGCAGTTTCCGTGGTCTGGCATTTGCGTCCCCGTAGCGCATTCACTCGCTGTCCATCCCTCTTAGGTGCATCTCCAGAAGTTCATCCCGCTGGGTCAGCTCAGGAAGACCGTCTTAATTCACGCCATTCTCAGTTGTGAATAGAGACTCCCCAGCCTGTAAATACAGGATGTACATCAGGTCAACGGAGTGACCTCACTTCCTTTGGAGAGGACGTGTTTCAGCCATGCCATGTGACGTCTCTGAGCCCACAATACACTGAGTTAGGGAGGTTCAGACGGGGGTGTGTGTGTCTTTAGTATAACCCTCTCTTTGGATCAGCAGGTGGTCACGCGCCAAGGATTCCTGCCATCTTTTGGGGAAGGTCCTCCCCCCCGGTTGAGTGAGGGTAGGTGAGAAAGGAGGATTAATTCAGAAGCCCCAGGTCATCCACTGGAAGGGGAAAGGAAGTCCGTGTGGTTATTGTTCCTTGTACTCCTTCTGGTTGTGTAAGTCTTGGCACAGTGGTAATGTGGGTTTTTTTCTCCGTCACACAACGGGCACACTATGCACTTGCCTGTGTGTGTGTTTGCGGGTGCACAAACAGAGGCTGCTGTTTCAGGAACTCAGCAGGTTTTGCGACAGTTTTTAACGATGGTTTTGCGATTCCGCAAGGAGCGCCCCGTCGCTGCAGCCGCCACCTGCAGTGATGATGCGCGAAGGTGGGGGATCTTTGTGGAACAAGAAGATCCCAGAAACGTTTACGTGGTGATATTTATGTGCGCACTAAGATAACTTTCATGAACGTGTGTTTGTTTTTAACTCGGAACAAAACTAGGCTGGAAAGTCTTTGCTTTGGAAAGATCCCTTGCTCGGAGTAAGCAGTCGGCCCGGGGGTGGGGTGGGGGTTTCCGTATGAAAATTAAGGCGCTGGAATGCAGGAACCTGAGTGGGTTAGAACATATCTTGCAGCGGCGAACCGCAGCACCTTCTTTCTGCAAAGGTCACCTTTATCAGTCCACTTGGGTTGATGGGGGTAAGCAATGCAGGCCAGGAGGAGGTGGGGGGTTTCCATTCCCGGCCTCAGCTGTCCCTTGCTGTGTCAGGAACAGAGCTCTGATATGCTCCGGGAGCACCAACCTCATGTCCCACGCAGCATCAGGGCCTGGCTTAGACTGCCGGCTCTAAGGTAGTTGTCGTTCAGTGGCCCTTGCCCAAATACTTCCCCGGTCCCTTTCCGCACAGCAAACGGGAATGTGTATGTTCAGACGCATCGGAATTCAGCCCAAAGCGTCCCAGAATCCGGAAGAGGAACCTTCCTTCCTTGTCAAAGCAACAAACCCACCTTACAAGCGGCAAGGATCTGGCTGCTGGGCAGGGTCCTAGAGCCAGCCAGCTTTCAGGACCCACCCTTGGGGGCTCCGCACCGTGCCATGGGCCAGCCAACCCACTGGGCACGGGCTCTGGCCTCCGAGGAGAGTGCCGAGTTTGGATTCTCGCCTCTTGCGGGGGAGGTCTGCAGCTTTCTCAATCGAAGAACTACATTTAAAAAAAACATAAAAATAATGTGGTGTAACCGTGAGGTGCTTGGCGTCAGAACCACAAGCGCGGTTTTAAACCGGAGCGTTCTAGCCCCGTTTTTACTTCATTCGATTGTTTTTAAAAGCAACGCACTTTAACTCTTCTGGCCCGTGTCCCCTGTTCCGAGGAGAACACGGGGGAGGGGGGGGAACCAAACCGGTGGGAAGGTTTGTCCCAGTCCCCCCCACACACACACTCCCCGTGGCGTTCCAAAGCAAAGACTCTCCTTTTCCGCTGCTTTATCTAATAATTTACAGGGAATATTTAATTTTGTTTTATAAAGTAAGTGTATATTTATGCATCTGTAGTTTTAACTGCACACTAAAATAGGACGAGTCCCTGGGCCCTCCCGCCCATTGGCATGTTCTGTGATCGATTAATATTGTCTTCTGCCGATGTCTCCATGGTACCGCTCGGCATCAACGGCTGGTTGGAGTTTTCAGTCATTCCGTTGGCTTTTTTTGTTAACCTGCTGCTTCGAAGACCAGGGAGGAAGCTGCTGCTGCTGCTGCTCTTGAAGTTGGTTGAATGTACACGAAACAGGACTTCACCTCGGTTGTGTCACATGTCTCCCGCGGTGGCCAAGCGCTTCACCCCCTCCCCCCCACCCGGGTCTGTGGTCTGATCTGTACCTTTCTTCCCCCCCCTTTGAATAAATTTCAGGAATGTATCAAACTTTGTACTTCTTCGTTCAAACAGAAACAGCCAATTTGGAAACAGAAATGGAGACCTGATTGTTTTGCCGTTGTTCCAAAGGCCATTTATACTATCAGAGTGCAGGTACACAAAGTGCGCATTCGAAAAAACACTTGAAGTTGCAGGGCTGTTGGGTTGAAGGCCAGTGTCGCTTGTTTAGCAAGGGAAGGCCCACGCATTTGGGACCTAGAAAATCCACGTTTCTGCCAGGATGTCCTTATCCATCAAACTTTGTACTTCTTCGTTCAAACAGAAACAGCCAATTTGGAAACAGAAATGGAGACCTGATTGTTTTGCCGTTGTTCCAAAGGCCATTTATACTATCAGAGTGCAGGTACACAATGTGCGCTTTCGAAAAAACACTTGAAGGGACTCTGCAGTTGCAGGGCTTAAGGCCAGTGTCGCTTGTTTGGTGCGCCCATGCATTTGGGACCTAGAAAATCCACATTTCTGCCAGGATGTCCTTATCCAGAGTAGAGTTGAACTATGAAGGGATCCACTGAAGCTGGAAAAGAATGTCCATGTCCACGCATTGCCCATTCCGGGGTGTGGTTTTCCTGTTTTCCGAAAGCATTCCATGAACGTCTCCGTTCTCGGCCCGCATGGCATAAATGGCCTTCTGGAACAAATCTGTGGTTTCCCCCTCCCCCCGAGATCAATCTCACCCTGGTGAAAAGAAGTACATTCACAACACTGTGCACTGTTAATTTCCGACTTTCGTTCCTCCATGTTTTATTTTGTAAATATATCTGATGTTTGGAGCTTGGGTATACAAAATGTAAATACAATTCATGTATTTGTACTAATTCTGATCCATTTGCTGTATAGCCTTTAGGTGTGCAATGCAAATACTATCTAACTCTTGTGTATGGTAACTTTGCACCACTGAACTGTTAGTGAACAAGGTGAAAACTAATAAAGATGCAGCCTTCCAGGGCCATGAGCAAGTCACAGTTGCGTGTGCCGTTCTTTTGCCTTCGGTGCCCTGGGTGCTGTGTTTTCCAGGGGGGGTGCGGTCTCATGAACACATGAATCTGCCTTGACTCGAGTCAGACCCTCAGTAATGTCTGCTCAGGCTGGTGGCAGCTCTCCAGGGTCTCAGGTCGAGGCCTTTCACATCAACGCCCTCCTGAGCCTTTTACCTGGAGACGCTGGGGACTGGACCTGGGACCTTCTGCGTGCCGTGCAGAAGGTCCACCACTAAAATACACACCTTAGATTGGGAGGGGTCTGTCAATGTCAGTGTGTCTACTCAGACTGGCAGCGGCTCTCCAGGGTCCTCAGGCAAAGTTCTTTCACGTCACCCTTCCACCTGGTCCTTTCAACTGGAGATGCTGCCGGGGATTGAGAAGGGGACCTTCTGCATGCCAAGCAGAGGCTCCACCACCCCTGAGCCCACAGCCCTTCCCTCTCGAGTCCTTGATCTTGGTTTCTGAGATTGGCGTGGACGTTGGAACAGATCTGTGCACAAACGGCATCCAGACTGTTCTGCTGGACCAGAATCTGGTGGGTTTCCAAGAGTGGGCAGCCATTCTTGCAAGCCCAACATGATTGCAGCATGCCCGAGCCAGTTTGGTGTCGTGGTTAGGAGCGCGGACTCTAATCTGGGAGAAGCACGCGAGCCAGTGAAAAGGCCCAGGAGGAGAAGGAAGGGCTGAGCAGAGGAATTGTGACGATTGTAGACTTAGACTGACTTCTGAGGACACAAGCACAGGATCGGGCTGCGTGGTCCACGAGGACCTGACCACAGAGGGGTTCCTCCCAGCTGCTATAGTAGTTCAGAGCAGCTCCCATCTTGAGTTTGACACTGAAGGACATACCAGCCATCTGCCTGTTCTTTGGTGATTCTGAGCACCGTTGTCGTGTGGCTCCTTCTGACAAGCTGTGAGCGTAGAAGACCATGCATTGTACCTTGACGCAGTGATGCGAGCTGTTCCTGCACCAGCA